GCTTGCTGCCGCGGCTTCGATGACAATCAAGATGAGTTGGGCCTCTGGACCTCGAAATCTTTCCGCGCTGCAGCAAAATAAAAACATCTGAGAGCGCTGTGCTCCAGAGCGTCTTCTTCTCCACCCTAGTCACAAAGGCCGCTTTGACTCTGCTCAAATTTGGTTTTGAAAGTCTTGAAGACGAAGTTCCACGTGGGCTTTAAGCAGCACAAAAGGCTTGACTGCAGCACACAGAAAAACCTGGATCTGTGTGGATGGGATTCCCACCCTCCGAAACATGGAATCCAGAATAAGCAGCCGCATCAACTGCCCTTAGCGTGGTCAAGTTGCAGCGTTAGCGTGTCCCTGAACGTATGAGTACGAAGCTGGCTTTCCTGGCCATTGATCGCGCTCTGGCACGCAAAAGCCCCTGGCACACCAAAGAGGCTGGCTCCTGCACAACAGCAGCTTCCTCATCAGCGCCTTCGCAAAGATTGACAGCCGATCCAAGATTGAGTGGCGCCATAGCAATGAGATTCATGAGTCGTGCTCTGTAGGCATCAAGAAGTCTTTGCAGCGTGTGCACAACAATAGTTTTTTGTGTCCTCAAGGGCATTGGTTGCGTTTCCACTTTTGATCTTGGCTAGCCGTTTCCAGAAGGCAGCGGGCTGAAGAAGCTCCTCGGCAAGTTGCGGCATGGTCAAATCATCCAAGCCCTCCTCAGACCAAAACAACAAGAAACCCCTTCCTCCTCAAGCACGAAGATCTTGCCATGGCCTACCAGCTACTTGACAAAGTATACTTCGGAAGTTCTCAGGCTCGGCAAGAAGTCGAAGTCCACGTGAGGAACAAGTCCATGAAGATCAATCCCAACCTCCTGACCCCCCAAAAAATAGAGGGACAACGATGAGCAGCACTGAATGGGCAACAACAAGGCTCACCAGCGCTTCCTTTTTACACGGCCACGATGAATTCTCAAGCCTGAGAGTGGTTGAGCATTACTGGAGGCACCCAAGATGCGCTCACGCTTTGACCCACTTGCTTTGAAGGAGCCAGGAACCATCAAAGACTTTGATTATCGGCCACGTCGTTTGAGCACTCCAGGGTGGGGATTTCTTGTCATCAGGCTGTGGCAATGTCAGTGAAGTCCACTGCACAAACCAAGCAACATCCGGCTATGCTCTCACCTAGGCTCAAAACTTGGGAAACTGAATCCTTTGTCTCTCCAAATGAACCACCCTCTCTCTGGTACCTCTGAGAACACACCATTGACGAACGATGATCTGACACCCCGCATCAGCCATCCTGTCCACCAATAAGGTTTGTCCAGTCAGTTCATTACCTCCACGCGTTTTCGGCCGTCAACAGTCTACCAAGTTGAGAGACCTGTGGCTGCGGCCGTGAAGGCCTAATCTCTCCTTTGTCCATGCTTAGGTTGGGGACCCACGTCCTTGACGCCATGAAATGGTAGAAAAAAAGCCCGCAAACTTCGCCGGCTCTCTGCGGACCGGTTTACCTTGTGAGCTTTCGACTTGAATTCCCAATCGCGGTGAAGCTATAATATTATGACAAAACATGACAAAACCTGCTGCCTTGTATGGTGACTCACAATGCTGAGAAAAAAAGAAAAACTACGTTCATTGAAAAACCATTCCCCGCCTGTAGTTGTACGGCTTCTTCGTAGTCGTTGTCGTCGTTGTCGTTGTCGTTGTTGTGATGTCTGGCGCTGTCGATGTAGTGGGCGACGTAGTCGGCGAGGTCGTGGGTGACGTGGTTGGCGACGTCGTGGGCGACGTGGTCGGTGAGGTTGTTGGTGACGTGGTTGGCGAGGTCGTGGGCGACGTGGTTGGCGAGGTCGTTGGTGAGGTTGTTGGTGACGTGGTCGGTGAGGTCGTTGGTGACGTAGTCGGCGAGGTCGTTGGTGAGGTCGTTGGTGAGGTCGTGGGTGACGTGGTCGGTGAGGTTGTTGGTGAGGTTGTTGGTGATGTGGTTGGCGAGGTCGTGGGTGACGTGGTTGGTGAGGTTGTTGGTGACGTGGTCGGTGAGGTCGTTGGTGACGTGGTTGGTGAGGTCGTTGGTGACGTGGTCGGTGAGGTCGTTGGCGACGTGGT